AGCACGTTTATTCCAATATTTAAACTTTATAAGTTTCTAGAATACTGATTGTTGAACGATTCTCACATGTAATGTTTTTTTTCAAGTGCTAATAAACTTTGGGCTTCTAAAAGTGTTCTAGTGGTAACTGCAAACTGATATCACTCCAACTTCCGTGCTTTTCTGAAAAATATATCTGAAAATTTATATTTTTTAATGTTTTGAACAATTTCCGGTTCTCTAATCATAACTACAGAAATAACTGTGCGCGTTTAAAACTTGTTAAACTGTAAGTTATACAACTGGTGCTTTTTGTTTTCGAGGGGCTTCCCACCTTCTAGCGCCGGCCCAGAAGAACATTATTCGATATGATGAAAACTATTAATATGTAGATTATTTCATATAGGATTAAGCTATACATTAAAATTTTGACGCAGACAAAACCTGTCTTTCTTGTATGCATCACCATGTGCAATAGGTGACGCAATAAATGCAATAATATTATTATTATTATTATTCACGCCTACCTCTTTGTCACGCAATAAATGCAATAATAATATTCTTATCATTAAGGCTTACCTCTTTGTTAATAGTTCCCTGTGAATTAGCGGTAAGTTTACAGACTTACAACACTAAAATCCGGGATTCGAATCTCCGCGGTGGAGAGAGTGTAGCCCATTATGTAGCTTTGCTCTAAAACAATAACATCTTTGTTAACAGGAAAACTCGCATAATCATATGCAGTAGGTGGCGCCTCTAGTTCAACTGTCTCGTAATTATTGATAACGCTTACCTGATTTTTATTAAGATGGGGGAAATTCTAATAGCGTATGGCGCAACAAACCTTGTGATGTCTTGGTAATTAAAACCTTGAAAAAGTTAACCCAAAAATATCTTTAAATACGAGTAGTTTCAATCACAAAAATAACTCTGATGGTACTTTAAACAAAATAATGTCATTCTACAAGTTATTGATAATTTATAAGTTTATACGTCAATTATCTGTTTTATGCTAATGGATTTGCACATTAACGTAAAAATTTATTTGAATCAACACAATCTGAGTTCCTCCAGATACGTGAGCTGTCTTCATAATACAGCTTCATATCTCTAAACGAAGGGATTTTTCACTAATAAGCTTCGCTTTGCATCATAAAGGAGCCTTTGGAAGTTAAGTGATGGACTTACTTTAAACTGGCTTCATTTCATAACATTGTGATATGTTTTATTGTATCAAATTAAATTAAATGTTTTCTGCCTTTCTATAATGGAATTGAAGGCAAGGAAGAATGTGCCATAATATGACAACCATACTACATCTGCTATATCCAGTGCCAACGCGGCCTTTCGCGTGATACCAGGGATCATCAGGCCAACTAAATACCCTAATTGCATCAGACAAGAGTACCCCATGAGTTGGCGGTGGGTGCTGTTAATTAGCTGCATTCCTTCTACTTTTATCAGTTTATTATTAGGGATGACTATGTGCAAACATATCTTGTGTATTTCTGAAACAAATAAATAAGACATTCGTTATTTTCGAAAGTACTGACGTCAAATCATATCAAGTCATTTTCGAAACTCCAACAAACTTGCTACACATGAGTATTTAGAAAGACGACGTCACAAGTAAGGTATTTCGATAAATGACGTGTCGTATTCGGATATAGAAGTACATATAACTAATATTCTTCTGAATTCTAAATCTAAGTTAACTTTAATTTCACATTATCTGTCATGGTGTGGTCCTGCATAAGAAGCTTGATATTGATTATATTTGCTTTCTTTATATGCTTTCCTGATTAAAAGCAAAGAATCACGTTTTGAGCAGCGACTTGAGCTGAATGACATTAAAATTATAGATTTGCATTTCACGAATCCATACATAGAAACCCATAGTCTCTTTGGTCTTTCAAGAATTTCGTATAGCTACATGTAATCCGAGTTGGTTCGATTGAAGCGATCTATACGTACCACGGAATGACTGGATTCGAATGTTAAAATCGAAGACAAGAAGAGACGACAGCAGTTTTGATCAGGTGTACGTAAACTGTCTTATGGCTGTATGTATACGTGCACTTTATAAATGGTTCTCGAAGTAAAGATAGCTCTGGAGTCGTAATTTGACTGGACAAATTATATTGTAGTAGGCAATGTTTCTTAAAGTTTATATTGTTTCGCCAGAGGGAGTGTTGATGTCATGTGGTGAGTGCGTGTCTTAATGACAAGAACTTTTTTGACTATAGAAAATTATTTGAATATAAAGGGCAAGTTAGACGAGATTGTAGGTTTACTAATAGGTCTATAATAATGGTGGGTTGGTTACTGAGTTATCCAATTTATTAGTTGGTTTCTCTGTTACTTCAGTATTGTGAACATTGAGTTTATATTTCAACGAAGTGGTACAGATAATAGAGGTACTGTGTGTACGAGAAAATTAGCCAATAAGTGAAATTTGTATTTATACTTTATTTATTTGTGCAGTTAGATGTATTGTTAAAACCACCAAAGACGAGGCAATAGAAACGCAAGTAACTTGAATTTTTTGCAACGGAGTTGTGATACTTTGCAACCTGAACTCAGGAGGCAAGAGTTTGAGTTGCAAACGATCAAGCACTGCTTGATATTTTACAACGCATCTCATATTGTCTCCTTTAAAGACTAAGCTACGTTTGACCAATCAGAGATCACGTATTATTCAATGACAATAGCATCCATCATCTTTGAAATGTGGAGTAAAACTTGTTGAACTTCGAGCAAATTAAAAGCCAATTCTTTTTATCACCAAAAAACAACAACAAAGAAAAAGTAGACAAAGATAAAACTAACCAAGCATGGGAGGAGGTAGTTGCGGCACTTTGGACAACAGGCAAATAGGAAACGAATACTGGTTTTGAGCTGCTTTGTTTTTGCCAAGGCACAAAATAAAATTGTCGGTAAAACTGCTACAATTAAGCACGTGACTCAAGGGAGCATTTTTATTGGTGTAATTACACAAGTCCATTAAAATGGCATTGCTAGGAATTCTTTCCTCTACAACTACTCTTGGTCGTGAATTATACAAGTTGTAAAATTTGTAGTCGAAGAAATAAAACGCTTTCGTTATCATAAGGTGGACTGTATTTGCATTTTTTAAACGGATAATCCAAAATAACAATAGAATGCGCTCTGACATATTTTCTGCTATTAACTTAATTCTATAAGAATCGATAAATTATTGTTTCTTAAATCTATTACTTTTTCTTTTCCTTACACACCAGCAACTAAACACTTTATGAACATTTGTTAAATAAAAAATGTGGATTTAATAAAATAAGCCAATGTATTTGATATCACCAGGAAAATCAAATCTATGTCTAAAAATAAAATGTTCTTCCATCTTCATGTATGTTTGTTTGGAATCAAGCACAAAGCAACACAATGGGCCTTCTGTGCTCTGAACACCACGGGTATCGAAACTCGGTTTCTAGCGTTGTAAGTCCGCAGACATACCGCTGTACCACTGGGTGGGGGCATCTTTATGTCTTGAGTTTTTAATTGCTGGCATATTTTATATACTCTGTGAATGGTCCTAAAATCTGCCCACGTTTAAATTTTATAAAGATATTGAAAAGAAAATAAAAAATATAAAAATAAATGTAATATGTATTATACGACAACGTTTATGGTTGTGAGAGCTCTTAAGAAAATAAGTCTCCATATATGTTTAGCATTTATACAACTAAAATATTGCTCAGCTTTTAAATGGGTCTTTATTGAATGCATGTTAACCTTGTGTACTAAAGAAAAACTGTAGCCTAAACATCTTTCGGCCCGGCATGGCCAGGTGGTTAGGGCTCTCGACTCGCAATCTGCGGGTCGCGGGTTCGAATCCCCGTCACACCAAACATACTCGCCCTTTCAGCCATGGGGGCGTTATAATGTGCGGTCAATCCCACTATTCGTTGGTAAGAGAGTAGCCCAAGAGTTGGCGGTGGGTGGTGATGACTAGCTGCCTTCCTTCTAGTCTTACACTGCTAAATTAGGGACGGCTAGCGCAGATAGCCCTCGTGAAGCTTTGCGCGAAATTCAAAACAAACAAACTAAACATCCTTCACCTGGCGATCCTGAAAGGCTTGTCTATTACTATCTAGTACGATACAATTACGGTGTCTTAATTCAAATGGAAAAATACCAAAATTTAAAAGATATTGTCTGGAGTAGCTAATAAAGTTTTAAAATATTAAAACCCATAAACGAACATTCTAACCTTTTAATATAATAAAGTTCTATGTAGTCGCTGAAATTAAAATAGTTAACCTGTCACATTAACTCTGGATCATGTTCAAGTCTATAGTTTATATTCGCTGCATTATTTCAAAGTAAGTTTAATTTGTTTAATCAACATGTTTTATGGACTTTTGAAGAAGTACATAAAATAGTTCACGTCTATTTAAGACAACTTAAGTTTAGTCAGTTGATACTTTACAAAGTGATATCTTTAATTTTGTCATTGTAGTATCTGGTATTTTCAACCTTAAAAGCACATTAGGCGTTACGTAGGCCACACGACTAAGACACAAATTTCAAGGTTCAGCAGAATTGTCCCTAATTTTTAATTGCTGACAATAGGGAGGGCAACTAGTCAGCAATACCCGCCGTTTAAATTGTTACTCTTAATTGAATAGCCAGATTGATTATAACTCAATTATAACACCTCCTATAGCGTGTTAAGAGATATGTCGCGGCTCAAACCTTGGATCTGCTGTTTCGCAGCCCGGCACGGTAACCACTTGGCCACACTAGACCGTTTATGATAATCAGTTTGAGTCTTCTGCACTAATCCCCAAATCAATACTCTTATTGAGACTCTTTCTTCTTTACGGAGTTAAAACACTAAAATCCGGGATTCGATTCCCCGTGGTGAACTCAGCTCAGATAGCCCATTATGTAGCTTTGCGCTTAAACGAGCAAACAAAGAAATAAACTCTTTCTTTATTTACATTATTCTCCACCTGAAAAGACTGATTTGATTCTTCTAGGTATTGCTAGTGACCAGTAGTCGAGTGCCTGGCCAGTGGATAGTCCCAGGTGGTGGACTAGAACCGGATGAGGAACCAAGTATCGCAGCCATAAGGGAAGTCATGGAAGAAGCGGGTGTTCGAGGAACTCTGGGAAGGTTTCTAGGAACGTTTGAGGTGGTGATTTAAAATTGTATTTCATTTTCTTTTATATTTTTCTCCTGACGTTCTAATGATAGTCTTGTCATCTTACATGTATTTTTTCCCTGAAAAATGCTTCAGTTAGCTTTTGACGTCAGCGTTTAACGACATTGTTTACGATGATATAGTAAAATGGAATGTCTCAATACTTTTATACACACACACACACACACACACAATATATATATATATATATATATACATGTTTGTGTGTGTATAATTAGAGAGTCTAGCAAAAAAAAAAAAACATATAAAATTAAGAAAAAAAAGAATCTGGCAGCATTGTTGGCATAGATACTTCGCAATAATTATATTGAATCTTGAACAAATCTTTTGAGTTTAATGATAATAATAACCTTAAAGGTTTTTGAAAGTGTCTAGTTGAGTTTCACTGACGTCACTAGTAGATAACCCAGAGAAGTAGCCAGGGGGGGGGCCAAGACCTCTTGGGCCCCCCTGAAAAATCTAGGCATGTTGATCACATTATTTTCAGTTTTTATATATAGTAACCTCGTTTTGTATCATTTAATAAAAAATATAACTTCTATAAACACTATTACATTTCATTTGCTTTGTTTTGTTTTAATGACCATTTTATTAAAAATTTAGGTCAATTTCAGCTTTTTAATTTATTGGCCCCCCTGGTAAATTTTCTACCCCCCCCCCTCCGAGTGGAAAACCTGGCTACGCCACTCACATTGGTTCCAATACCAGTCTTTTTATGATCGTAGTCAGTACTAATGATTTTACCTCGAAGCTCATACCGCGTAAAGCCCTCCCTCAAAGCTAGTACTGTAATATCATACAGAAAATATGAAGCATATGTGCAAGTACTTGAGACTTGTAATATTTTCTGACAGATATTTCTAAATCCACAGTTCATTTAATTTTTTCATCTTTTTCTACCAAAGTATATTTCCATCATCGCGAAATTCTCGTGGCTTTCAGTATTTGATGTTTCTCCCATTCGACAAACTTTCCATATGAATGCATTTAGATATAATTCTTACATTTAGGAAAAAGTCATTATTTTCCAGTTTTCTCTTAAAATTTTATTTTAATAATGTATACGTCTGTAGAAACTGTGATTTATTTATTTTTACCTTTTAACATCAGGGAATACGAAAAAAAAATTATTTCCTCGCATCCTAAATTAAAAAAATAAATCTAGATATCTTTAGGTAATTATCCTAATTGTATTAGCAAAGCATAAAATACACACAACTGGGTATAAAAATACACACAACTGGGCGTAAAAATACACACAACTGGGCATAAAAATACACACAACTGGGCGTAAAAATACAAACAACTGGGCATAAAAATACACACAACTGGGCGTAAAAATACACACAACTGGGCATAAAAATACACACAACTGGAAATAAAAATACAAACAACTGGGCATAAAAATACACACAACTGGGCATAAAAATACACACACACAACTGGGCATAAAAATATACAAACAACTGGGCATAAAAGTACACACAACTGGGCTTAAAAATACACACAACTGGGCATAAAAATATACAAACAACTGGAAATAAAAATACAAACAACTGGGCGTAAAAATACACACAACTGGGCATAAAAATACACACACACAACTGGGCATAAAAATATACAAACAACTGGGCATAAAAATACACACAACTGGACTAGTGAATCAGTAACTGTTCTATCTAAGCCTTATAAGTAAGATGTGTCACATATAGTCTTAGCTACCTAACTGTTTTGAAAGAATGACCCAGAATGTATTAGTCATTATTTTATGGTGAAATTTTGATCAAATCAGTATTTTGTTAAATATTATAGTAAATATACAAGGTTTAAATACAGTTGCGAAATATGTAATGACAACAATAAGTTTCCTCTAAAAATTTGGGGCGCAGGATGGTCCAGTAGTAGAGCTATAGATTTCGGAGCTGACGAGCCGGGTTCAAATTCGTGCGATAACACAAGATATTTCCGCATGTTAAGCTGTGGGCGCGTTATATAAGTGGCAGTCGTCTCTTATCGTGGACGTTAGAGGTTCTGCTGACTAGCTGCCTTTCTTCTAGTCAACAGTTCAAAATTTAGGACGGTGGCATATAGCCTTAATAACTTTACCATAAATACAAATACAAAATTCTCTGTTAATTTAAATATTTATTTACTACGTTCATCAACATGCAAAATACAAAAACAACTCACGCGAAAATGTATTTGGATGTACTTTTCCATTTTCTTGTAGTTTTGTTTAGGGTAAGATTAAACAAAAAAGCGATCTATTCAGTGTAATGATTAGTCACAATTTTTATCCAACTTATTTTAAGATATTTTCCGAATGCGGCACCCCTGGTTCCACGAGTATGAACAAGACTTTGATCTCGAACGCACGGCGTGTTGAATGTTAGCGTTGAAAAGCATGTGTATATAAGCAGCGTTCCTCTCTCACCACTCTGAAAGCAAATTTATTAGGCTTAGATCTATGGTATGGTGCAGCGTCATTTGCAAGCATCTTCAATAATAATAAACTTATACATAAATACGCTCCAAGCTGCTATTGATGTGTACTGGAAAGTCACGTGGGAACTCAGTATTTGTAGATAGAATAGGGTTAAAGTGCATACAAAAGCAGTATGATAATAACTTAGAAAATAACAATACACCAACCACCTATTCCAGCCAACTCATGCACATTTCCGTATTAACACACTGTTATGCCAATTTAAGGATGATGAGAACTCTAAGCAGTTGAAATTTTAAAGGGAAATTGATGAGCCAGAAATGTGACGATAATTGCAAAATATCATGGATATAACGACAGTAAATTTTTCATATAGATATGGCTATCTTTTAGACCTTGTTTTTCACTAAGTCAAGTACTTCTTTCATGCATTTAAAGTTCAATTTCGTATTTTGTTTTATTTTATCACTCATTGAGCCCCTTCGGCTCAGCAGGAAGTCTTAGGCAGAGCTCAGATATCCCACTGTGTAAGCTGTGGGCTTGACAACAAACAAACAACCCCACTGCTTGAATTATTTATTTGCAATCTTTCATCGAAATGGAACATCATATTTCGTTCTAGTTCACTGAGTATGCGCACTGCACTTCAAGAACTTAGTTGAGGTGACCATTGTGCAGTTTTTTGCAGGTTTCTCAACAAGCTTATTTTCTGAACATTTCCAATAACAAATAGAATCGTTGAAACGAAAAATAAAATGCAATTAAACATTGGTAGGCGGTGAAAGATAGTAATGTGCCGATTCTGCTGATTGAAGTGCGCAGTCTGCTGTACGCTATGTTTTACCCCTCGTTCAACTCTCTTCCAGTTTACCAACTATACTGTTCACGAATCAGACCAAGACTTCGAGTGAGGTAACACTTGAAAGGGTCAGTCATTAGTATATTCTGTAGAGTATTTGTCTGGTCTCATTGATCGTAGTCCACCGTTTGACGGTATTTTATTTGTTGCAAGCACGTTTCATCCAGTTTTTCTTCACTGCAGTGTAATACCACTGGCAAATAACATCTCTTTGCTAACTGGATGCCATTAAAAAATATATTTATAAAAACATATATAAGACATCGTTTATCGCCTTTTTTTATTAATTTAAAATAATATTAGCGTAATCGTTTATCAATAGTGTGCCTAGTTACGCTTTAAAAGATAGAAAAAATAAGTGCATTTGAATTCAAAGTTTATGTACCCAACGTATGTTAATCAAACTCATTTATTTTTACTTAAAGTAGGCTTAAGAAAGTAAGATAGGATTTGGCCACTCGCAAAATGACCAGTAGATTATGATGTCACAGGCTCTGGTCGGTTACACATTCAGCAGAAAGAAAGTTGTTACATGTTTTGTTGTGTTCTATATCCTCATAAAAGTAAGATAGGATTTGGCCTCTCGCACAATGACCAGTAGGTCATGATGTCACAGGCTCTGGTTGTTTACACA